TCTGTAGTAGAGGCAGAGGCGCTAACCTATTCTGTAAGCGGGGGCTCTGCTTGCTTCCGGGTCAGGCGGCTTTCTGCAGGCCGAGGTGAAGAGTACTGACTTTTGTTTATTTCCTAAGTAGGTAATTATAACAAGGAAACCTAGAAAGGTGTGTGTGTGGGGGGGGGGCTATTTAATAAATGGTTTTTTGGTTCTTTGCACTTTGCTGTGTGTTTCACTTCATCCTTCCTTGCCCTCGCTCCAGGCCCACTGTACAGATAGGTACAGTGTGCAGTGACCTCACTGCGTAGCTGAGGAAACTGAGGCTGGAGATGAAGAGCTGAAGCGAGCTAAGCCATGTGGGTGCGCCACCCAGCACCCCACTGTTGCAGGCTCTGGCATGCCGCTGGCGTGGGCTCCAGCGCTGGCTTGCTTTCCTCTCTCCCAGTCCAGGACATCAACATCTCCCTTTGGCGCCCGCCAGAAAAGGTGAAGTTCGACAAGAGTGTCTTCATGAACCAGGGCGAGTGGGAGCTTCTGGGGGTGCTAACCCAGTTTCGGGAGTTCAGCATGGAAAGCAGCGACTGTTATGCAGAAATGAAGTTCTACGTGAGTGGGACAGGGAGCGGGTGCGATTAAAATAATGAATAGAACCACTAGACCGGCATACACAGGTAGACTTGAGGAGACATGGGGGAGAACCACCATGGCCCCGGCCCCACCGCAGGGTCACACTCATCTCCTGGAACTTCCACGAGGTAGATGGGGCAACAGCTGAATTGTCCCTCACTTACCCTAACAGCCACAAGCCTGGATCCAGAGGCAAAATGTGGGGTCTGTCCGTGTCCTTTTCTGAGAAATGCAGGTTGAAAACTCTACCAAGAAAGGGGGCTGGGATGGGGGGCGGTTCCTGGGCACAGGACCTGTCTGCCCCAGGCCTCCCCCAGAGCTCTTCTCCTGGTCCCAGGTGGTCATCCGCCGGCGGCCCCTATTCTATGCGGTCAGCCTGCTGCTGCCCAGTATCTTCCTCATGGTCATGGACATTGTGGGCTTTTACCTGCCCCCAGAGAGTGGTGAGAGGGTCTCCTTCAAGATCACACTCCTTCTGGGCTACTCTGTCTTCCTGATCATTGTGTCCGACACGCTGCCAGCCACCGCCATTGGCACTCCCCTCATTGGTAAGGCCTGCTTCTGGGGAAGAGCTCGCTGTGGCCAAGGAAGCCAGGCGTGGGCCCTCCCACCCTCTATGTGTCTCCCTCCCGCCCCCTCCCCGGGTGCACAGGTGTCTACTTTGTCGTGTGCATGGCTCTGCTGGTCATCAGCTTGGCTGAGACGATCCTCATCGTGCGGCTGGTGCACAAGCAAGACCTGCAGCAGCCGGTGCCTGCCTGGCTGCGGCGCCTGGTTCTCGAGCGAATCGCCCTGCTGCTTTGCCTGGGGGAGCAGCCAACCTCCCATCAGTGCCCAGCTGCCTCCCAAACCAGCAAGACTGATGACTGCTCAGGTGAGGGGGAAGGAGGAGTGCCTGGAGGCAGGGGCACGGAAGGGGGTGGGGTTGTCTCTGGAGGACGTGTCCAGGAGCTTGGCAGGGCCTGGGAGGTGGGTGCTGTCCTGCACATGGCACCCCAAGCACCACCTCTCTGGGGGTGGAGGGGCAGCCTGAGTGCCCATCTCTCTGCACCTGCACATGCTCATCAGCCTGGGTGGACAGAGACGGGGCAGGATGCAGGGAGCAGGGGGACCCACTGAGGAGTTGCCACAGCCATTTGGTGGTCATGCGGGTGGCGTGGTGGTCTGTCTCTTGCGCACTTTGGGCCAGGCATGTGCGAAGCATTTCCTGTGGGATCACAGGTGATCCTGATGGTGACCCAATTGGATTTTCATCCTCATTTTTCAGTGAAGCTGTCCAGACCCTGGCTTTTGTTTGCTGGGAGTTTTTTGATTACTGCTTCTATTTCATCAGTTGTTATTGGCATACTCTGGTTTCCTGATTCTTCCTGATTCCGTTTTGGGAGACTGTGTTTTTTTAGGAATTTGTCCATTTCATCCACATTGATCCTCATTCTCATTTTTCAAATGAGAAAACAAGGGTCCAGTGAGGCCAGATAGCTTGTCCTAAGGCACAGAGCCAGGAACTGGTCAAGTGTGATTTGAAATCAGGCCCGTCTGACTGAGCTGGTGTTTTAACTCCACCCCCTGCACTCCTCTTTGTCCTCCCTTCGGGCCAGAGCCACGCCTTTTACAGATGTTCCGTTAACCTGCGACCATCTCCTCATGAATTCATAAGCTCAAGCAGCAATTTTCAACCTTTTCACCTCATGGCACATGTAAACTAATCACTAAGATTCTGCAGCATAGAAAAAAAATGTATTTTTTTGCCGATCTGAAAAAAATAGGTATACTTTTGATTCATGCACACTGAACAGCTATTGTGTTGGCTTTGGTGGGTTTTTTTTTAATTATTATTTTGACAACCCAAGGGAAAAGAGGTCAGTGCCCTTGACTAAATAGCCAGATATTGCATGTTTTAAAAATTGTGGCACAGTTGAAAATCCCTGAGCTGGAGCACCTGCCTAATGCCTGATTTCACTGCTCACCTGGCGAAGGCCGCCACATCTGCAGGCTTATTTTCTGGTGCAGAAGGCCTCGGAGAGGAGGGCATCGAGGCAATGAGACACAGTGGAGAGGGCAGTGGATTCAGAGCCCAGATATCTAGGCCTCAATGGCCTTGCTATTAAATAACGCTCCAGCTGTGTGACCACAGGCTAGTCACTTACCCTCTCTGAGCGTTAGCACCTTCATACAAAGAGTGTGGATAGCAATTCGCCCTCCTCTGCTCTTCCATGGGCTGTTGTGACGCGCAAATGAAATGGTGACTATCAAAGCTGGGGAAAGACCATGAGTTAAAAAGCAAGTGCATGGGAAGGATAAACACCAAATTTGATGTTGGGGACTTTGGGAGGGGACGGAGGATGTGACGAAGAAGAGGTGTAAAGGAATCTCACACTGTATGGGCTTTCTTAATTTGCTTACGTTGGATGGCGGGTACACAAATAGGTAAGTTACTCCCGATGCTCCTTATGTCTGAGATTGCTCATGCTAACACCTTCTGCAGGCCAAAGAAATGTAAGGGGCGGTGTTCCGGCCATCTGGCTAGACCCCCTCCCTTGCCAATGCTCTGCCCCTTCTTCCAGACATGGGGAACCACTGCGGCCATTTGGGAGGACCCAGGGACTTGGACAAGACCCCGAGGGGCAAAGACAGCCCGCCCCCACCGCCGCGGGAGGCCTCCCTGGCCATGCGCGGGCTGCTGCAGGAGCTGGCCTCCATCCGGCACTTCCTGGAGAAGCGGGAGGAGAGCCGAGAGGTGGCCCGGGACTGGCTGCGCGTGGGCTCCGTGCTGGACAGGCTGCTGTTCCGCATCTACCTGCTGGCGGTGCTGGCCTACAGTGCCACGCTGGTCACACTCTGGTCCATCTGGAAGTATTCCTGAGGAGTCCAGCTGAGCGAGGCTGGGGGGACTTCAGGGTTCAGGGGGTGCCAGGGATATTCTCAAGTCACATATACAGCTCCATCCCTGGTTCCAATGCCAATTTATCCCAGCAATCCCGAAGCGGGGCCTTCACCCTTCTCCCCAAATCTTGGCGTCCAAGATCCTTACATCCCCCCCTGCCCCCACCTGCCACGATGGCTTTGAAACATGTTGTCTTAGATCAGAAGAAATCCATGCATTTCCCAACTTCACTCTATATCTGTGCAGTAAGCCTCAGTTTCCCCGCTGGCACCCCCCTAAATAAGGCACTTTGGAATCCTGCTCAACTCCCTCAGCCTGGTTTTTGAGACTGAAGGCCAGCCAACTCTCTAATATATGGACCTGATAACTGCTTTAGGTTTCTCCAACACTAACGTCTCCTTCACCTCCGCTGTGACCACTTCCCTGAACACTCACGTTTCATCAGATGGTGGGGGTGGGGGTAATAAAATGTGATAAATCCCTGACCTCTCTTCTTGACCATTTGTCAGGAGCCGCGTGAGGATGAAGAGGTTTACAGTTACTGGTGAAAGTGAGGGTGGGGAGTGTCTGTGGTTTCAGCTGTTTGGTGCTTCCCGCTCCTAAGGAATGGTGGCTGTTATGAAGAAGAAATAACAGGCGGTGGGGTTTAAATGGGAAGGTGCTTCTGCGGGTCTCAGTGTGCCTTTCCTTCCTTCTAGTTGTAGAGTTTACAGTCAGCCAGGCTTCCTGTGGTTCTGGATGAAGTCCGTGTTGTTTCTCTGAGGTATTAATCAATTGTTGTGAGCGGCATTAACTTCCCGGTGTTTATCTCTGCCGCCATCTTAGTTTCTCCCCCTGACCTCTCTTCTTGACCATTTGTCAGGAGCCGCGTGAGGATGAAGAGGTTTACAGTTGCTGGTGAAAGTGAGGGTGGGGAGTGTCTGTGGTTTCAGCTGTTTGGTGCTTCCCGCTCCTGAGGAACGGTGGCTGTTATGAAGAAGAAATAACAGGCGGTGGGGTTTAAATGGGAAGGTCAGGACCGTGAACACAGCAATGGAGAGGTGGGCGGGGGAAGCTCAGTTCTTGATCTCTGGCAAGATGCTGGACGGAGGCACAGTCCTCCCTGCGCGAGGACCCTGCCCTGCCAAGCAGAACATCAGCACCGCGGCCAGCGCCAGCAGGCTCGGTTTTTCAGACTGAGAGCTCAGGTTTGAGACTGTGTCTGGTTTTGCTTCTTTAATTGCCTTTTGGGAACTCTCAGCGGCCAGCCACTGCCACATCCACCAGGTCCACGAGGGAGGCAGGCGGAAGAGTGGCCTTTGATCTCTAGCTCCCTCTCCCAGACATTGGGGTTCAAGACGTGCTGAGCAGCACCCCGACTCTATCACTCCACCCACCTCACAGGCATTCAGAGGGGAGGATTGCCAGAGCCCACCGAGAGTGGCCACCTTAGCTCCTCCACGGATGCCTGAGGCTGGCTCTCCGCTCTTTCTCCGTCCAGCGCACCCCTCTCCCTGCCTCGGGCTGCTTGTCTCTCAGGGGAAGACGTGCGGACAGGGACTGAACACACCAGGCTAAGGGGAGAGGGCCCCAAAGAAATGCCCGGAATGAGCTGTTCTGGGCTGGCCAGTGAGAAGGGTTCAGTAAGAAACACCTGAAGCTATGCCTTCCCTTGACCCCACACCCTGCAGTTCTAGTGAGTAGACCATCCTGGGCACAACCTTGGGGCCTCGTGTCTGGAAGAGCCTGAGGCTGAGGAAGGGGGCTCGTCTGGTTCGGCCTCTCTCGGCTTCTCAGCCCAGGTCCCCAGCGTGGAGCAAGAACTCACCGAGGGAAAACTGCATGGGAGGTCATCGGATACTTCCATCCAGGCATGCGGGCTTTGGGACTAGCTAAGGACGTTACGTTTATCTTTGTTCTGTTGGTGGGCAGGTATCGGGGTCTCCCAGCAAAAAGCAGGAGACTGTGGGGCTGGAGAGTAGCCCCACTCACAGTGTTTGCTTCCTGATGAGTAGACGGCTCATCCTGACGCTCCCAGGATGGTCCCTGCAGCAGCAGCTCAGAGCCTGGTCTTGCGAAAAAGCTGCTCACTGCACTTGGACATGTCCTGCTCACTCACTTGGACGTGTCCTGCTCACTCACTTGGACGTGTCCTGCTCACTCACTTGGACGTGTCCTGCTCACTCACTTGGATGTGTCCTGCTCACTGCACTTGGACGTGTCCTGCTCACTCACTTGGACGTGTCCTGCTCACTCACTTGGACGTGTCCTGCTCACTCACTTGGACGTGTCCTGCTCACTCACTTGGACGTGTCCTGCTCACTCACTTGGACGTGTCCTGCTCACTCACTTGGACGTGTCCTGCTCACTCACTTGGACGTGTCCTGCTCACTCACTTGGACGTGTCCTGCTCACTCACTTGGACGTGTCCTGCTCACTCACTTGGACGTGTCCTGCTCACTCACTTGGACGTGTCCTGCTCACTCACTTGGACGTGTCCTGCTCACTCACTTGGACGTGTCCTGCTCACTCACTTGGACGTGTCCTGCTCACTCACTTGGACGTGTCCTGCTCACTCACTTGGACGTGTCCTGCTCACTCACTTGGACGTGTCCTGCTCACTCACTTGGACGTGTCCTGCTCACTCACTTGGACGTGTCCTGCTCACTCACTTGGACGTGTCCTGCTCACTCACTTGGACGTGTCCTGCTCACTCACTTGGACGTGTCCTGCTCACTCACTTGGACGTGTCCTGCTCACTCACTTGGACGTGTCCTGCTCACTCACTTGGACGTGTCCTGCTCACTCACTTGGACGTGTCCTGCTCACTCACTTGGACGTGTCCTGTCCTGCTCGCTGCCCTGGGGCTTGTCCTGCTCACTCACTTGGACATGTCCTGCTCACTCACTTGGGCGTGTCCTGCTCACTCACTTGGACGTGTCCTGCTCACTCACTTGGACTTGCCCTGCTCACTGCACTTGGACTTGCCCTGCTCACTGCACTTGGACGTGTCTTGCTCATTGCACTTGGACTTGCTGGGCCAGTCATGCTTCTGGCACTGTTGATGCCCCACTGGTCAGGTCAGTAAGAGGGTGGCTATTGACCAAGTGTCTAACCAGAGAGCTGGTGAGACACTAATCAACCTATTGATTCCTCATCTCTCCCTCCCTATCCTTCACCAACAATCGTTGGAGAAACAGGGCCCAGCACTGCGGCAGCCAATTAACCACCTTAGGAATGAGCTGCCCGTGTATCATCTTCTGCTCCACGAGCCACAGCCAATCAGCTCATCAATCCACATCCAGGCTGTGCTACCCAGGGATGGGAAACTGAGGCCAGGGCCAGGGAATCCCCAGTGCACTAGCTCTTCTCATCAGTATTGACCTTGGACTTCTCCCAAGGAAACCTTTACCCTGCCCGGGACATGAGAAGGCCTAGAGCAGCGGTTCTCAACCTGTGGGTCCGCGACCCCTTTGGGGATCGAATGACCCTTTCACGGGGGTCACCTAAGACCGTCAGAAAACACATATATAATTACATATTGTTTTAGTGATTAATCACTATGCTTTAATTATGTTCAATTTGTAACAATGAAATTGGGGCTCACCACAACATGAGGAACTGTATTAAAGGGTTGCGGCATCAGGAAGGTTGAGAACCACTGGCCTAGAACGTCTCTCCCAACTGTTATATTTCCCAGAATCTGCTTCCTTCCTTCTGAGAAGCTTGTTGGTTCTCTATCTTATCTCTACTCCTTTCTATTCACGTACGAAGACTCCCCGTTCTCAGCTGCCTTTCCCATTTATCTGCTTTCCAAAACCTGTCATTCTACTCAAAAGCTCCTGTTAAAGGTCTTGAAAGTGCCCAGCCCTCTGTAGTGCTCCAAGCAGTGGAGCCGGTGGCCCATATCCCAGGAGGCCACCTTTCCCACTGGAGGGTGGCAGCCTCTCTCAGCGACCCAGGGCCCCTCGCAGGAGTGGTCCAGGGGGAGTGGCTGAGCTCAGAGTTAGGAGATGTGCTTAAGGGTGATTTCCCTGAGAGAATAGGAAGACAAGCTGCCTGGGGTGAGGGGGGCAGAGGAGGGGGGGCGAGCATGAGGAGAAGTGTTTCAGCAATCCCCAGCCAGATTCTCCTCCCTCCCCCATCGCCCTCCAGCCTCCAAATCAATACATTTGGAATCTAATCTAATAACAGAGATTTAACGAGGGAATGATGCGTGTGCAGCGCCAGGCGCTTTGTCTCTTCTTTCAAGCGGCAGCTGGGGCCCATTATCAGGACAATGCCCCATGCTAATCACTCCCCTCGCCTCCGAGGGCTGGGGAGGGGCGGTGGACAACAGAGGGCAGCTCCCCTCCTGATCGGAGGGGAGTGCAGGGGTGAAAGGGGGAAGAAGTGGAGAGGGGTCTGGACGCCCCCACACAGTTGTCTTGACCTGACACCCACTCACTGGCCTCCTCCCCACCCACACTGCCCACCGGCAGTCAGGACAGGGAGCCAGCAGTGCACGCAGCAGCAGATAATTGCCCATCAGCTGCAGCCCAGTGGCTGGGAGTTGGGTAGGTTTTTGTTGCTTTTTTTCTTTCCTCTAACTTGGTCCTCTATAATTTAAGCTCCCCCATTAAGGCCTGTGATTGGCCAGTCCTGACTTCGTGGTTAGAGAATTAAACCCTGGTTTTAGAGACCATGAATACCCTCTCTGAAATAGAAGCCTGCTTCCACATCCTCTATCTCTTCATTCTAGGACCTGACCAAAAACAAAAACAACAA